CGTCCGCCACCACCTCCCCCTCCTCCAACAACTCGTCCGCCACCACCTCCCCCTCCTCCAACAACTCGTCGGCCACCACCTCCACCTTCTCCAACAACTCGTCCGCCACCACCTCCAAATCCTCCAACGACTCGTCCGCCACCAGCTCCAACAACTCATCCGTCACCACCTCCTCTAACAGTACGTCCACCACCGCCACCACCTCGTCTCGTCCAATCCCAGCCCTCAACTCCAGCAAAACAGCAAAGGCCTCCAGGCCCTAACAGTGATGAAAAACTTCATCGTGTCCATCCCAGGCAAGTTGGGGCACCATCTTCGCCTGTCAGCCAGCCAAGTGCACCCCAATCTCAATTTCAAAGGGTGCAAGGAGGTACATGGTATAAACAGAGTTCTAGTGGGAGTGAAGAAATTCGACCGCCATCCCCCTCAGTGACTCGTCGTCTGTCCCCTACTCAGCCCACACGTAAGCCCAGACTGGGGTCAAACTCTCATGAAAGTGCAGAAAGACCACGACAGATCTCTCAGAGGCAGGTTGGGTCACTTTCAACTTCGCTGCAGAATAGTCAACCTGAACCTCTTGGTTTATATTTCGGTGCATTCCCAGTGATGAATCAATCATGGAACCCTCCATCATATCAGGATAATTCAGCAGTGAGATACAGATGGCGTAGACAACTTTATCCAACTCCAATACTGCCTCTACCCCAACCAGGTGCCTAAAATTCTAAATTTTTCAAATCAGTGATATGTAGTTTTCAGGAGAAAGAGATAGGTGGCGTCGAAGAGCTTGAGAAGAGAAGCCAGCATACATGTTTTTAAGCTATTAACACCGTCTTAGTCAATTTAACTGTCTTATCTGTGATTAGAATGTGATATCTGCATGTCTTAAGAGTTTCTATAATAAACTGTTTTCTTTAATAGTTGAGTAGAGTACGTTGCTATAGAGATTAGCGATGAAGAATCTCTCACGTGATGCTGCCTTCTTCTGAGGATTTAGAGATGAGGCGGCTGCTTAAATAGTGTTCATGGAGTGGTTTCACAGGTATAGGTTGCTGATCCTCACTAGAAGAATAAGTTTTGATCATCTGTCGAGTTTCCAATGAACTTAGGTAACCGACAAGCACGTTCAAAAGTAAAGATTCTTTTTTTATTAGAACAGGTGTAAAGTGGGTTAGGTACAGCTTTTCAATGGTATTTTCTAACATATACTTTCATGAACTTTTCCAATTTTGTTCGCTTGTTTCATACTCTCAAAATTTATTTCATCGGCTAGTTTCAATACAGGCCTTTAAGGCAATCTACACCCAGTGGGCTGTTCGGGTTTAAAGAAGGATATCTGAATAGCCGTTTAGAAGCTTCTGTATCCTCCACACCTCCTCCAATGGATTATCATATTAAACCAATTTGCAACCATGGGCAAGGCGAACTTCGATAAAGTTTATCTCAAAACTGGGGAGCTTTGTTGAGAGGAGACCTTGTACATGTGATGGCATTAACAAATTTCAAGGGAGAAGATTCTAAGCCATTACGAATCCTGTGTTTTGATTGGCATACTGTTGCCTTTGTCAAAAATTGTATTTTAAGTAAATTACGAAAACTCGAACTCTCGAAAATCTACACTGAGGGGAAAAAGTAATAAATTAATGCTTTCTCGCATGTATCATCAGCTAATTTAGGTATAATTTTTTGTTGAAAAGAAGGTCATCTTCTAAATATCCGTACATGTTTCAAGATTTACTATAGGATTGTACTCAATGATAACAAAATAATGCCTTTTAGTTGAAGCAGCTTAACAATAAACTATGGAGAAGACTAGAATCCTTGTTTCCCAATCTGCCTTCAACATTCGACGAAGGAACATTCGGCGATTTAGATCAGATTGGTATATCAGCGTAAAAACTATCGTATGGAACCTGTCCTTTTTTTCAGACAGTAGAGGTGAAATCAGTCTGAAATGCTATGCAAAAGGTCATTCTCGGTTGGAGTTCCTAGCTATGTTTGAAGTTGTTATCCTTCAAAGTCCTGTTTCCATACAATAAAACACAGCCTTTTACGCTGGACCCCTCTTTCTTGCCTTTTCCTCAAAAACTTAGTTTTTTGTGGAATTATACATAAACAGGGGGCGTTTGAGAAAAAAATCGTTATTGTCTGTGAGAACATTTGGCTTTTTAGACACATTGAAGTACAGTATGTGTAAAGTAAAA